AATGCAGACATGTTCCTGTTTTTAGTTTTCTACATTCGCCTTAGAATCTAGCTGTTTTTTGTTACATTCTTTTTTTAGCCTTCCTATTTGTAAAAATAATAATAAAAAAATTGAATGACTTTTTATAACTGTTTATTGTTGTTGCTGTTGTCCATTGTTGTCATTCTTTGTTGAATTCAGGTCTCTCTTGTAAATGAGTCCTCCAGGCTCAATGGGATTTACCTGTCTAAATAAAGGTTGAATGAAAAATATATATATATTATATTTATATTTAATTTGAGATGCTGACACTTTTATTTTTCTCTTTAGAGTTTACTTTTCGACATTTTCAGCCCTTTTTTTTTTTTTTTAACTGTTTATGTATCAAAACTTTCAGCTCCTCCAGGAGTTTTGGTGTTTGTCACTTTTAAACAATTTAAAATAATTCAATTCTCTCTGATGGTTTTATTAAAATAAAAAAAAAACTTAAAAAATTTAGGTAATCCTAGTTTTTAATTTATTTATTTATCTGATAATTTTTGAGTTTGGCTTTATTTTTCCTCTGTTTAGCTCATTTTAAAAAGAAAAATGTATATTTTAAATGTATGAATTTGGTAAATGGCTTAACACACTATTTTATGCCAAAATGTTAACAAATTAACTTTTTCTTCAGAAAAAGACGCATGTGTGAAATTAAAAACAACGAATACTTCTGAGGCCTCAGCCACTGTTTGTTGTTGTTTACACTCAGTTTATAAACAGAAAATCAACAACAGCAGACTGTGTTGTGATACTTGTTTTTTTTATTTTTAAAGTTGTTTGTTTTTGTGTGGTGCTTAGAGCTGTTTCTGTTTTGTTTTATTTTGCGTCTCATTTGAGGTATTTGCAGATCATTTACACATTTGTATCAAACTAAATATTTTAGGATTACTGTAGATCCAAGCTTCTGCACAGTTTTGTGGACTTTAAAAATAATTGTGTCCTACAGAAGTTTAGTTTCAGGGCCTTCTCAAGCTTTTTATTATTTTATTTTGTGCATAATATCAAGACATACGCAACATATTTTTCCTTTTTTCTGGTGACCTTTGACCTCTTAAAGTTGCTTTAACCCAAGGGTTAAAAAAAAAAAAAAAGTTACCGCCTGTGTGAGTATTTTCTGAGTGTCCCTGAAGGCGTCACGGGTAAGCCCCGCCCCCCACTGATTGTCCTCGGCGTTGCGTTCGGCTCCTTTTTTTTTTCCTCCGAGTTTGAAAGTTGAAAACAGAATCTGAGGAAGAACCGGCGTGAAACGGACACACCGCTCCGAGGAGAAGGCATGGGCTGCGGCCACAGCAAGGTGAGAAACCCCGCGACGAACCGCCGAGCCTCCGGGGGAGATTCACTTAGCTCCGCCGGGAGAAGGTGACTTTGTTCGCCCGGGGGAGGCTCGCTGGCAGGCGGCCGACGCGGGGCTGCTGGTCCCGCTGCCCGCGGGGAGGTGAGCTCAGATTAACGGCGTCCAGAACTCAGCGTCTCCAGAACCAGCTCGTTATTTCTGGGTCAGAACCACCGCTTCAGATGGAGGTTCGGTACCGGGTTAGCGCAGAGAAAGTTTCCTCCGAACATCTGTTTCCAATCAGGCTTCGGTTTGAATCCGAGCCTAAAACAATGATTTTATTAGTGAATAATTAAAAGACATTTGTGTCTCTGAGACAGTTTATATTCTGATAAAGCCCGTTTTTATTTCATACTGACGGGGTTTGATCTGGGAATGACCCAGATGGGGGACAGATGGAACCAGTTTGAAAGATGGGGGACAGTTTTGATGATGGGACACACGGGGACAGTTACAATGATGGAGGACAAATGGGGACACTTTAGTTAACCGAGGACCGTTTTGATGACTGTGGACAGGTGAGGACAGTTTTCAGTTTGGGTTTGGGTCCAAGAGGGTATTCCTCTTTCCAGGTCACGGTAAATTGATAAAATATTAATTTTATTGTTAAATAATTTAAATAAATCTCAGTTTCTCAATCATGTCTTTTAATTTAGCCGGATCTGGTCTCGGTCCCGCAGCAGTTCTGTCTCGAGTTCTTCCTCTCAGAGTGAAAACGTGGAGTTTGTTCTGTTAATAATAATAATAATTTTATTTAAAAAGCCTTTCAGGACACTTGATGACAGGAGAGTCCCTCAGACTTCACGTGGTGTCCCCTCTAAGGCCCACGGGCCTTCTGTTGTGGTCCAGGACTTTGTTCTGGATCCTTTCTGGTCCTCTTTGGACTTTCTCAACAGATTCCATTCATTTCTCACGGAGCGGATCCGTGTTCTGCTTCTGATCGACCCGGCTTCAGTTTGGGACCCGTCAGAACAGGTGTCAGTCAGGATTTGTGCTTCACAAGCGTTCACACTGTGATCCAGGTTTTTGGCGTCTTTCTCGTTCCACATTTTTTGTGCTATTTCAACAAATCATGAATCAAAATGTTCGGCTCTTTCAGGACAATCCTACTGTAACTTTTGGTTTTGGTGCAGTTTTAGCTTTTAGAAATATTTAGCCATTTCTGCCATTTTTTTTTTTTCTCATAGAAAATGAATTGAGCTCATTTTACGTCCTTCATGTCTTTAGATGTGTTTACAGCTTTTTACTGCTCCTTTCACATTTTGTCCTGGTTCAGCTTCTTTTAGCTTCCTTGGGTAATTTTAAACATTTTTCAGCTAATTTCAGCTGTTTATTCTGCTGTTTTAGGATCCTTTTAGATTCTTTCTAACTACAACATTTTTGTGCTTCCTCTTATTTCTGCTCCTTTCAGCTTATTTATGCAAGTTTTGTTTCTTTCTGCTTAGCTGTTTGACGCTAATTTTAGCTTTTTTCAGCTAATTTGATTTTTTTTTTTCACTAATTTCAACCCTTTACTGCCTATTTCATCAAAAATGTGCTCTCTCCACTTGTAATTTCAGCTTATTTCTATTTTCTAGCTACGTTTCAGCTGGTTTTTGCTATTTTTTTCAGATAATTTCCACCTTTTGTGCTTATTTCTGCTTCTTTCAGCCTAATTGGGCAAGCATGTTTTCTTTCTGCTTTCTTCTGCTAATTCAAGCTTGTTCTACATTTTCAGCTACACTTTTTAGCATTTTTTTTTTAGCTAATTTCAGCTGTTTTTTAGATTAACTTCTTTATGATAATTTCAGCTTATGCTCCTTTCAACTTTTTTCAGCTACTTTCAGTTATTTCAGTTATTATTTAGCTGGTTAATGCTTTTTTTTTTTTTAGCTTTTTCATCTAATTCCACTTTTTTTTTTTTTTAGCTCATTTCAACTCTTTCGACTTCCTTCTTGTAGTTTAAGCTCCTTTCTGCCTTTTCAGCAACTTTTCAGCTTTTTTTTTGTTAGTTTCAGCTTTTATAGTTAATTTCATAATTTCCATGTTTGTTTTAGCTTATTTAAACCTAATTCAGCAAATATGTGTTCTTTCTGCTTTCTTCTGCTAATCTAGACTTGTTCTTCCTCTTCAGCTAAAATTCAGCATGTTTTTCTTTAGCTAATTTCAGCTGTTTTTCAGCAAGTTGTTGTGCAGTTAGCTGCATTTTTGCAGGAAATGCAATTTTTCTAGTTTAGGTTTGGTCTTGCAAAAACTTCAAAAACACCTTTACATGTGGAAAATAAAATCTTTTGTTGTTTTATTTGAGGTTTTGGGTCAGAAATGGTTCAGCTCGGTTCTGTTTGAGTCAACAGAGAAAATACAAAAAAACTTAAAAGTCGAAATGTTTCTTATTTTAAAATTCAAACTTATTGCATGATGCACGTTCTGTTTGCTGTGATGATGTCATCCTTGTGGGTGTTCTGTTTGGACAAACAGGAAGTGCTGTGATGATGTCATCCTTGTGGGTGTTCTGTTTGGACAAACAGGAAGTGCTGTGATGATGTCATCCTTGTGGGTGTTCTGTTTGGACTAACAGGAAGTGCTGTGATGATGTCATCCTTGTGAGCATTCTGCTTGGTCTCTGGGAATCAGCTGGAGGACAGTTGGATATTGATTATTTATAGGTTACCTGATGGTGCTCAGCAGAATCTGGAGAATCTGATTGGCTGAGCTGCGTTTAAAAAATCTGGTGCGTTCAGGTACAGTCGATCATTGGACCTCTGTCTGGGCTTTTAGAAACATTGTTGTGGAGCAGAAAAGCTGAGAACAGAACCGGGTCAGACCGACGGGCTCAGATTCTGAGCCTCGGTGGATTTGATGTCACTAAAGACCAGCTGACATTTTAGCTCCAGACTGAACGTTTCAGGATGTTCGTAAAGTTTTAAACCCCTCTAGTCAAAGCTGTTTGAGTCAGAACCTGAAAATGAAGTTCTGTTTGCTCTCAGAGAGCGTGTTGAGGGAAACTCTCAGCTACTACCACACCAAGTGTTGGCTGATTATCTGTAAAACCAGCTGAGTTTTGGCTCTGTCTCTGTTTTCTCAGTTCAGTTGGCTGTGGCGGCCATGTTGAACTGGGTTGACTGGTTATTGATGTTCATCCTAGACTCCAGTCTGAAAGTTTTTTTACTGTCTGTCCAGCGGTTGAGGAGATATTTTGCTAACAGACAAACAGAAATGGGATGAGGATGCAGCAGGAAAACAGTTGAAACGTGAATGTTTTCACGGCCAAACGTTTGATTTATTCCTTTTGTTCAGATAAAATCTTTTTACTTTCTGGTTTTTGTTATTAAAGTTCTGGGTGGATCACCTGTCAGGTGGCAGCTGGTGCTGACTGGGTCCAGACAGACTGTGGTGGAGCTGGGATCTCGCACAGGTCTACGGTGACAAGTCAGTAGGATGGTCTGACCTTTGACCTCACTAACGTGTGTGTAATTTAAAGACTCGTCGATGACGCAGAAGCGGAGAAACAGGAACTTCTTTTTCTCAGCCACAATCCAGAAACTAAAACATGAGTGGGTATTTTCAGTCCCTGCTGACATTTCCTGTTTCATTTTAACAACAAACTCAAAAGATTAATAAAATTCACAGTTTCTTTAAAGACACGCAGCATGTCTTCAGAACGAGCGCAAAGACTGAAATAAAACTAAAGGAGAGCGATAAACTCCAGAGACAGATTGAGCTCAGAAATAATAATAATAATAATAATGATGATTAATTTGTAAAACAAAAAGTTAAAGCTGTGAGTAAATTGGTTTCAGGTTTGTAAAGTTTCATCTGAATGACGCACAGAACGTCTGGACCACAACAGGACCAGAAGCGGGGTGGTTACCCAGAATGCACTGCAGCACTTTTGGAGCAGTCCGTAGACTTGAATGCTGGACACCTTAAGGGAACCTGGAAGTTGAAGCTAATCGGCCCTTGCAGAAAATAAGCCACGCCCCCTCCCTGAACTGTAGCAGGATCAGCAGATGTTTCTCACATAAAGGCTGTAAAATAATGAGACGCGTAGAGACAGAAATGTTCTGTAAAGATCCGAACTGAGCAGGTTGGTTGGTTCTGAGCAGCCCCGATTAGTCGGGTCTGATCAGTTCCTGTTGGTGGGACTCGAACAATGATGAAAAATCTGATCACAGCTTTTAAAATCTTCTCAAGACATAAAACTGAAGCTCGTAACTTAAAAAAAAAAAGATGAATGGACCCAAAGTGCTGCTGGTTCCGCTCAGGATCAGGTCCGCGTGTCGCTCCCCGAGCCGTAGTTCTGGTCTCCGAGCGAGCTCTGAACAAGGCGACTGTTAAACCTCTCCCGGGCCGCGGGCGACGGGAGAGGTTTAACGTCTGGTGAGTTTCAGCCTCTCGGTGGAGGTTCATCCATCAGTTTCAGCTCCAACATCTGGTTCCACATCTGCTTTCTGTCTCGTTGAACCCAACGAGCTCTCGTTTCTTCGGTGAAAATCCCAAAGACGACAGTTTGACCCACAGAAGCTGAACACTTGTAAAAAAAAAAATTAAGAAATTAAACATGTGGGGCACAAAATAAGTGTCGGATCTGAAATTATATTTAAAGTAAAACTGTGTTTTTAAAGTTATCAAAGTCTGATGGCCGTAACTGTGCAAATAAACATATTCCCGCTTGTTTTCATGTAATTATTTGAGCTCTTAACCTACAAACGAGTCTCTGACGATCACGTGATCTGGTTTGAAAAGAAAAGCTTTCCTCAGCGCAGTAAACCACATGTTTAATCAGCAGCTGGAATGCTGTTAATTGGACGAATCTTTTACGAAGACGGATCAGAAGCTTTGCTCTTTTTATTCGTTCGAGGAAAAACCAAACGTGAAATGCATCAAAACCTTAAATCGCCAAAATCCCCCCACAGACATCAGTGGTGGTTAATTTCCGGTCCTGTTTGGATCTCCAGCTCGGACTTCGCAGCAGAACCACGATTGGGAGTTTAAGCGTGTCACAGAAAGTTCGACTTCCCATGACTGAGCTGCTGTTTTCACATCTTTAACACTTTTTACACAATCACAGGGCATGTTGGAGGACTTCACCACAGAATGTTTAACTCAGTGGTTAAACTTTCCAACATTTTTTACAAACAAACTTCTTTTTTCTTACAATCTTTCCATTTCTCCTATAATTTATCCATCCAGTTGTATCCGTTTCGGCCTTCTTCCAGTCAGTGCGTCTCTGCTGTAGGACTGATGGGTTCCTCTCAGAGGTCAGAGGTCACACACCCAAACTTTGACTCCCATTGTATAGTTTTCTCTTTAAACAGGAAGTGAAGACTCTTTTTAACTTGTCATATCTCCTCCACAAATCCTTATAGAACCAGCAAACAAAACCCGTGCTACCATCAGAACTATAGGGCTGGGCGATCTGGACCGGAATTAATATCGCAATATTTTAAGATGAATGGTGATATACGATATATATCTCGATATTTTTTCTTTCCATAAAATATAACGTATATTTCAAAGACAAAGCTTAGTCCCAAATCCCACTTGTCACACAGGCACCTTTATTAACAAACACCGTGTATACTGTACAAAATAAATGTCTCAAAAATAAATAAAACACAGCTGTGCACTTTAAATTTAAACAGAAAACATACAGAGCAAATGAAAATGAGAGCAAATGAAAATGAGAGCAAATGAAAATGAGAGCAAATTAAAGGGTGACTTGCTCTTTGAAAAGTCTGATTTTAATGAAGTATATTCATTCAACCTTTAATAACTTTTACTAACAAACTGTTAGAAAGTTGGCTTCTTTACTGAGCTCGGTTCTGTTTGGTTTTGACTTGTTTCTTTCTGAATTTAATAGTTCCTACACTCTTGAATGCACCGTGGCTCTTCCAACACTAGTGAACGCACCATTCTTGAAGAGCGCAGTTGAGTTTTCTCTCTTGACATGGATGGAACCTTGTTGTTCAAGCTTCTTTGTGCTTTACTGGTTTACTGCTGTGTCCAAATACCAGAAGAAACACAGCAAATAAATCACCCTAAACTGGATATTTGTCTCCATGTTTTTTTTTTTACGAGAAGACAACTTCATACCTTGCCACTGAAGAACACCAAACCTCTGCTTTGTAGCAGCTACCCAGTCATTTTAACACCTATCAGGAATTTACAGTACTCTCCCACTGTGAGTCAACAAAGATATCTGCATATCTAAGCTTAGCATTGAAATTCAATTCATATAGTCTTCAGCAGCAGCAAGCGGTGGGGGAGGAATGGGTTCGTACTCAGTGAGGGAAAGTATGTGTGGTAGCATGAAGGTGCAGACTGGGAGGATAAACTGGCAGATTTATAACTCTAAGTGGAGTATAAGACTATATTGTTTTATATCGATATAGTCTCATTTTGTATTGTGAATTAAATTATATCGATATCACCCAGCCCTAATCAGAATCTTCTGCTGCTCGTGGGTTAAGAAGTTCTTTGATCCAACTTTGTAGTTTTCACACAAAGAATGTCCGAGAATTACATTTTACTCTGGGTTTCTGCCTGCCTTATAAAGTGTTGCTGTGTACTGCCCCTCCTCCTTTCTGCTTCACAATAAAGGTTGGAATCACCATGGCAACCTGTGACTCAGCAGGTTCTGGGTCTTCTATATTACCCAGGATGCCTTTCTTCCGCCTATCTTGGCCGCTCCCATAGATCCTGTAGAACCTCGGACCTCATGTCGTCTCTAATCGGACTTTTGACGTTCAGGTGGATTCAGTCACGGGGTCGACAGGAACCAGGAAGAAGTTTGAACCAGGAGTTTCAAAATAAAGTTCATAGAGATCCTTCATACTAAAAGTCTGTCTTGGTTACAGTTAGATTATTTTAACACAAGTCGTAACTTCCTGTTTGTTTGTAGAGGAGACAGCCGACTGTTGGAGCTGCTTTGGTTTCTTCAACATTTCTGCAAATATTTTAATTTAGCCCCGCCCACAGATATTTAAATCAGCCAATCAGACGGCAGCCTGGATCTACTGGTTTCCACTTTGAGGAGAACATTTTTTGTGCAGCGAGGTTCTTGAAGGTGAAGTGTTGTTTAAACACATGAGAGGAGAGGAGCCTCGGCGAAGATTTATGACCTCTGTAAACCTCTGGGCTCCCGCAGGAGCACATGTTCCTCCTCCTCCTGCTGACTCTTGAGTCCACGTTGACTCGTTTGTTTGAATCATGTCCAGTTTTCAGGGCTGGAGGTGTTTCTGCAGCGCTGCAGGGTGTGATTGTTTGTTCACAGTTTGGTTTTGGACCGGGCCTCACAGAGTGTTGGTGCTCCTGGGAGCAGGACTGGGTTCGTTTCAGACCTCGTTGCGTGTCTGCACCTCCTCACATCAACACTGTTTTTACAGACACTCTGAGGTAGATTCAGCTTAGATTTATCGCCCGTCTCCTTCCAGACCAGACTTTAAACAAAGACCTCATGCCTTCTGTTAGTCTGTGTTGAGGAGGATTCCCAGCTACTACCATCAGTATCTCTAAAGTTGACTGAGTTATAGACAGTTTAATGTTTGCCAAGGCGATTAGCTGTGGCAGCCATCTTGACTTGGATTGACTCTAAATGTTGAAGAGTTGTAGACGTTCATCCATTGATTACTTACTGAGAGTGTCGTTAAAATACGTCCATTGGTTCATGAGATATTGTGCTAACAGACACAGAGGTGTAAGATTTTGCACTGTTATCCATTATTGTTGCAAGGGGTAAAACTGAATGCAAATGTGAAATGGTATGCTGTAACTTCAGGCAGGTTTGAAGAGCTGCAGCGAGATTTATTCAGGTTTTATGTGGATTTGATATTTTTCCTGGTTTGGCTCCGGCCCACTAAACTGCTGCGTTTGTTCTTTTTGGATCACCATAGAAACCAAAACTCAGTTTTGATGTTCTGACTGATGTGGGCTTTCTGTTCAGAGTCTGTCTTCACACCTCAGAGACAAACTTTGACCTGAACATAAACCCGACTCTAACTGCTTCGTCTTCTGTCAACAGAAAAAAACTAAAGGCAAGAAAGGGGAGAAGAGCCAGAGGGAAGACGGCCGCCGAGATGGAGGTGAGTCCACGCTGGATCTGATATATCAATATTGAATCATGTATAAATACTGGCTGGTCCAGAACCTCTGAAGTCCTGTAGAAGAAGCAGGACTAGACCCAGTTCTCTCCTGGTTCTGGTTTAGGTTAATTAAATCAAGAGTGTAACGGGTGTCTGAGAGGTTGAAATGTTTTCAGTAGCAGATTTAATTTAAAAGTTCTCGTGTGTACGATCTTTAGTTTGAATGTGGGTCAGTGTGGTTTCCTTCTCCTCTGTTCTCAGAGCGCTCACCTTCACTTCCTGCTCCTCCCCTGTTCACTCCTTCACTTCCTGCTTCCATCACACTCGCTAAAAACTATGCGCACATTTTTTTATATTAACAGGAGAAACTACATAATCTGTGAAACTTAGTTTGAGCGCTAAGAGCTGAATGAAGCTGAAACTGAGTTGTTAGAGCTAAAAGTAACTCGCTAATGGCTAAGAGGAGCAGAACACTAAATGTTAAAACAGCAAAAGGCTAACTAGAAGCATCAGAAGGCTAACGACTGCTTCACTGAAGGTTCTTAAAGACGTTGTTGAAGCACTGGATGCTAAGGATTATTGTGCTGCACTTTTCTTAGACCTGTCTAAAGCTTTTGACACTGGATTCTTGTCATAAACTCTCAGAAATTGGTTTCTCAGAACACACCATTGGTTGGTTCTCTATCTCTCAGATCGGAGGCAATGTGTTCAACATAATGGTACTTCCTCCAGTTATTTAACAGTCAACAATGGTGTACCACAAGGCTCAGTCTTAGGACCCACCCTCTTTACAATCTACATACATAATGTATGTAAAAACATCCCTGATGCATCCATATATTTCTATGCTGATGACACAGTTGTTTATTGTTGAGCTAAAACTGTTGAAAAGGCTTTCCAGTTTTTGCAATCTGCATTTGACATCATCCAGTCTGATTTGTTCCGCCTTAAACTTGTCCTAAATGCCGAAAAAAACAAAAGGATGTTTTTTCAAACAGGAAGTCGGTCCCAGCAGTTCTTCCTCCGATTTTATCCTCAAGTTGTGTCCCCATAGAGTTTGTCGATTCCTATAAATATTTGAGTATCTTGGTCGACTCACATCTCTCTTTTATGCTCCATGTGGAAAACTTGGTAAAGAAACTGAAAGTTAAACTGGGTTTCTTTTTCAGAAACAGATCCTGTCTAACCCTGAATGCTACGAAACACCTTGTATCTGTGCCTTTACTTCCCTCCATTGATTACGGTGACATTATTTACATGAACGCTCCTACAAGAACCCTGCAGATGTTGGATGCTGTCTATCATGGTGCACTAAGATTCATAACTGGCTGTGATTATCGTACCCACCACTGCACCCAGTATTCACTGGTTGACTGGATATCATTAACTTCACGCAGACTCTCTCACTGGTACATTTTCATCTTTAAATCACTTCTTGGTCTGCTGCCTTCAAACATCTCCTCCTACATGTCTCTGCGTGAGTGCAGCTACAGCGTGCGCTCTCAGGACATTATTACCTGCAGTGTTCCCTGAATGAGGACTGAACTAGGCAAAAGGACCTTCTCCTACTCCGCTCCTGTTTCCTGGAATATCTTACAAAAAGACCTGAAGCTCTCGACCTTGACCTCTCTAAGTGGCTTTAAGAATCTGTTGGACTCCTGGCAAGGACCAATGCAGACATGTTCCTGTTTTTAGTTTTCTACATTCGCCTTAGAATCTAGCTGTTTTTGTTACTTTTTTGCCATCTTATTTGTAAAAAAAATAAATGAATAATAATCTGTATGCCTTTTTATAACTGTTTATTGTTGTCGCTGTTGTCATCTTTCTTTGTTGAAATCAGGTCTCTCTTGTAAATGAGTCCTCGAGGCTCAATGGGATTTACCTGTTTAAATAAAGGTTGAATGAAAAAAAACTAGAAGCATCCGAAGGCTAACTACGAGCATCTGAAGGCTAACTAGAAGCATCAGAAGGCTAACTACGAGCATCAGAAGG